ATAGCGCTGTGGCCTGGCGATGCGGGAACATCACACGTGCTTCATCTCGGGGCCTGGCGCGGCGCGGGGGCTCCTTCGCAGCAGTCCCGCTTACACGCACCGCCGTTGTGACCTTGCGCCAGCGCATCCTGCAGTCGTTTGACAGATCTCGGTGTGGCACGGGCAGTGGGAGGACTGGAAAATCTTCTGTTCCTACTCCAGGTAGTGAGCCGGTGCTGCTGGAGCGGTGGTGGAAAGGCAGGAGGCAGTGCTGTTGGGTGGGTTATGGATGTTTTATAGGCGCTCGGGCTATAAAGTGGCATCTTTACTAGGGCAATGACATCCGTGAAAGAGACTTTGCAGATCTTGCGGAACTTTTTATAGGGCTGCCATACGATACAGCTTATTTACAGATACAAAGTAGGGTTTCTGTGTGATCAAGCAGAAGCCTTGGCTCTGCGTACGTGGGCTTCCGGGAACAGAGATCAAACTGTTCCTGCTAAACTCTTTTGGCAACTGTTGGAAGTAAATACATACTTTAGAAGAAACCAAGAAGCTTTTAAGGGTTCAAAAACCCCCTCTCTCTGCACATAGTTTTCTGAGCCTTGTTAATGTAACTCCTGTAACCCCTCTGCCCCTCCCTACCTCGGCTCGAAATGAAATAATAATAAAAAAAAAAAAGCTAGCATAAAAATACAGTGCAGGTGCCTATGGCTGAAAATCATTATCAGTCTTGAGGAGCAGGAAATGAACTTCGAAAAGAGGGAAGGGCAGGCCGAGCAAACATGCGTTAGGAAAACCCGTGCTAACTCTCCCCGGGCTGTTTCACCAACTGTCTTGGAACTGATTTTCTGTTATTTAAAAAGCTGCCTTTTAGCTCGTAGTGGAACAGAAGAACTGAAAATGATCCTCAGATGCTCCAAGTCCAACTACAACGTATGAAAAAAATACACGTACTGGCCTTCATTTGTAGTTAGGCCGGTGTCACAGCGTCCAAGTGCCTAGTAATGACTGTGGGTACTGCACTTTGCTACCGTATTTTCAGTGTGTTGCATTAATTTTCTGTAAAATACATAGATGTACGTAATGGTGAATTATTCAGCTTTTTAGGACTTTGCTCAGCCCAGTTGATGAACTTTGGCTGTGGGGTTTCTCTCCGCTGCAAAGCTGGTGCTGTTGATTTGGAAGCGTGGCAGCTGGCTGCTGCATTTAGCTATGCCACTGCTGCACAGGATCTTTTCCAGCGCAGTTTGCGAACAGTTTGTCTCGGTAGCTAAACAAGATGTTAGAAACCGATTGCCTTTCTACCGTTTTCTGCATCGATATTAATTTAGCCTTCGGGCCAAAATAAAGAGTTTAATTGGGAAAAAAATAGATCATTCCATCCACAGCTGCTTAAAACGCGTTCCTTGCTGGATGTGCCCTCTTTAGGGCTTTCAAAAAAGGCCCGCGGGAGGGTCGCTCTTGTCGCCTGGGGCACAGCCCCGCTTTCCGACGCCCATCTTCCCCCTCCGGCTGCTCGGGGCCGCTGCCTGCCCCCCTCGGCTTATAATAAAACCAACCAAACAAA